TCGAGAATGAGAATAGACCATATTCGTATTCTTGGTATGGACTGGAACTAGCTTTTAACTGCGGCTAATGCGCTGAGTCTTTTCAAATGCAAATGACATTTATCCCTCTTTAATGATATTCTCCCGCATGAACCTCCATTGCAAGCTAGTTCTAGTCCAAAACCGAGAATACGAATATGGTCTATTTTACAAAGTTCTGTAATCAGTTACAAATCTCCTTTTATTCTTATTTTTCTGCTCCAAAAACTGGTTGGGTATGATAGCACTAGAGTTAAGACCAAAAGAGGCTTTCTTTGCTTCGCCTTAATTTTTATTGTCGCTTTTCATGCAGGAGTTAAGCAGCAGGTTGGACAGAGCCGCGCAGGAAAGGAACGATTTACTCAGCAATCTGTCAACCTTGGAGGAGAGGATTTTATCAGCTGAAAATGAACGCAACGTGTTGCAAGGGAAATTAACATCGCTTACGGAGGAAAAAGCTGGAATTGAAAATCAAATGACATTGTTACGGGAGACATTACAAACTGCAGAAAAAGAAAAGCAGGTTTGTAACAGTAAAAACCTCGCCAGCGTGACGTAATACAGTACAAAACCCGCGTGTAAGAACCTCCATTTTTTGAAGTCTGGCAAAATATGTTCTTTTATTTTTTTCTCAAGCATCTGAGCGGGCCGGAATCCAAAATCCTCGAATTTGATGGGCTAATCATCCGGACGTGATCGGTTCAGTTTTTTACGATACGGCCCATGGGCCCGAGTTTTTCCCCTCTGCCTAAACGTCTCTCCTAAAAGTTAACGGTAATCGTCAATCTTTTGCCCTTTTTTACACATCCATCGACGATTAGTCAACGCCAGTTTATCTCTGTTCACTTTACACACTTTTTTTAGGTTCTTAATTTCCTATGAAGGAGATATAGCTGGTGATTATCAGGAAAATAAATAAACTTGGGTTTCATTATTTATTCACAAGTGTATTATGTATTGCAACGGTATTATTATGTAAGACAAATTTGCAATCTCAAAGACGTTCTCCTTGGTTAAAATTTTTGTCATAATTTAACTCTAACCCACATATAAGAACCTGCTTGGTCTAACTTGGCTAAACAGGTTTTTTTATTTTTTGGGCATTAAACCACTAGGTTTTTACAGTAATGTAGGGAAATAATAACGGTAGTCACGTTTTGTGAAGATTCAGTTGCAATTGTGATGTCTTCATTTCAGGAACTTTTTGATCAGATTAAGAGCTCTTCTTCAGAGGATAGCAAGCTACAGGGGATGGTCGAGAGCTTGGAAAAAATGCTGCATGATTCAGAGAGCAGATATCAAGTAAGTAAATTGATGAGAGATATGATCTCGGCGGCTATAACTGATATTCTACGCGAAGAGCGATGCTGTTGTTTGAACAAGATCAGTGGAGTAAGGCAATGTTTCCAATGACCCCATTCACCTTCATGCTTAAGTAATATATCAAACACGAAAGACCTTGTTTGACCACATTTCCAAACACCGTTAAGAGAGTTGAACATACGATGCGCAGGGGAGTATCGTTGACGAACTTTCGGGTGTTTGGAAATGTGGTCAAACACTGTCTTGAGTGTTTAATATGTCTTCTCAATCGAAACTAAAACTAAGGAGAAAATGGAGAAATAAAATCGTAAAATCTGTGCCAATAGGCCATATTCGATATATCAATATTCTGACATGAATCCGAAGGTTTCAGGTCAAAATTGCAAAATTTTTAAGTTTCTTTTGTCTCACCATTCCCAAAAAGAGACTTGGATACATAGAAAACACCACCAAATATAGATGTTTGTTCTGAAAGCCTCGGAGCCATGTTAGAATATTGATATATCGAACATGTCCTATTAAGATCAGATATCCAAACACCGTCACGGTCATGATTTCCTGTGTTTAAACTTGATGAATTATTAATGAGTTTGAGAAGTTAATTTCTCAGAATTTTAAAAACATACCTATATATAACCTGTAACGACCAAAATTGATATGAAAATATAAACTTTCGCATTGAGATAGATGGCCTGTCTTTGAGAAAGCTGTTGTTAAATTAGCCAAATTTCCTGTCCATTAGGACCAAATTCGAGCCCTGCAGGAAAGTCAACAGAATCAGGAACATCTGCAAAATAAGATTCAGTCTTTGGAAGAAATGACGAGAAACGGAGAAAGCATGAACAAGGTAGAATTTTGTTGTGTTATTTTGTCAGTTCCAGGTGTTCGCTCAGTTGGAAGGCGGCACGAAGAAGAAGAGTGACTTTTATATAAAGCCGACAATCCCAGACGAAAGTAGTTAGGACACTTCAACTGGATGACGTATCCCCCATTCCCCTAGCCTGAAACCAAATGACAGCCGGAAATAAGTCTGATTTCGTAGGCTACCACCTCCCTAATCAATGTTGGAAAATGCCGACTAAAAAACTAAATGAGGAAAATATTTTTTTTCCAAGGTGGTTTCAATTAGGTTGGGGTTGGGGTTGGGGAGAGCGGAGGGCGGTCGGGAGCATCATGTTTCCCCAGAAATGTTTGCAACGAATCTTCCTTAGCCTCCCCCCCTCCCTTTCGCGATATTTGTCGCCGAGGATGGTTCAGCAACTTGCCGTATTCTCACTACGTCATGTTGGCAATGCGTCATGTAGACGCGATAATAGCGCTTTTGACAGGTAACTTTCCTCATTTGCATTACAATATAATCTAATATGTATGTGAGGCAATTTCGGGCTATTTGGTAGTTTCAGCCCGAAATTGCCTCGCGGGCACGTTGGATTACGCTGTAATACAAATGAGAAACACTAACCGTGGAAAGGGCTTTTTTCGGAGTGCTTGCGGTTGCTCGCACCGTTTTATGACTGGATAATAAAAGTCGGAAGATCTTCGAGTGGTTTTTTCCCACTCTCCCTCCCCTCCCCCTCCTCCCTCCCCCTTCCCCTCCATCCCAGGCTGGAACGCGCGCAGTAAAGGTGACGAATGCCTTCCAAAGAAACTCCAGACCAAGAGGAAAATCAATAGCAAACTCTCTCATATCTTTAAGCAGTATTTTGGTTTCAAGAAGTAATAACCAAAGGATTTCATTCGAGATAACCGACAGTTCCTAAACGCTATGAATGTTAAACCTTGAAACAGTGTCAAGATCGCGAGGACCTTAGTTGAAATATATTTTTCACTCGCATGATTTCATGTAAAATGCCGGCTCAAAAACATCTTAATATTCTTAAGCTGATTTGTTTCTATAGAGACAGGATGCAACAGAAAACATGTCTAAGTGCCATTCGAGAATTTTCTTTGCCGAATGCGAAAATTCACCCACGGTACTTGGCCTTTTTTACTTTGAAGATGTTTTCGCGTTCGTACAACAGCCCTTTTAAAAAGCATTCCACGATGACTACACTACTGTCACTGAGGCTGATCGCTGTAATAGGTTTCAATGGAGTCTCGATGGGTAGCCCGTTTACATCAGAAGATTATTAATTTGTTGGAGACTTGTGAAGCCGCCATATTGACGTAGCTATACGAGCTATTAAGAGGTCTGACCGCTTAGGCAGTACCTTCTTTCTCAGTCGTGCTGGGTAAAGGTGCTAAGTTACGAAATAGGCCAGTTTTTGTGATACACAAAATTTCCTTCAAATCAAATAAAACTTGTAAAATAATATTTTCTAAGTCATCTTCAACTTCAACGTCTCTGTTGTGTACTATTTACAGTGTTTACAGTGTGTGAGTTATATAAATACAAAAAGAGAAATGATTGTTACATACGGTTAGGAAAAAGACTAAAAAACGATCGAGAATGAAGTGTGGGGAGATTAAGACAGATTTGGAACGACGACGTTCAAAACTTTTGGGGCATTTGTTCACGTAGTAACTCTAAGTTCAACAGGGATCGCACTCTTAACTTACAGCCCTGACTGGTATTTTTACACCAGAGCTAACCAGGAGACCTTGTTTGTGTCCTTACGTGTGTATGTCATGGTTTGTTGTGATTTCGAATCCACAGGAGCTAGAACAGTGCTTGTTGGAGAAAGAGGAAGCGTTGAGAGTAGCACAAAGCAAGACTGCTGAGATGGAACAAGAACTCCACACAGCGTTGCAAGAAAAACAGGTAAGTGAACTGCTTTCGTTTAGAGACTAATCGATTGTGTACTGACTGTCGTCATTGGTTTTTTCTTAGTCTTGTTACTGAGCAGGAATTTTAGCTTGTAGTGTCGTGATGAAACGCTTTGCTCAGTTTCAGTTAGACTAAGAAAAGCGTGGTGCAAATTAGCCGGCTGTTGGCGATTTTGAAGACTATATCACTGCTGGTCACAATAGTCAAATGATTCGGTCACATTAGGTCACGCCAGGTTACGCTATCCTATATTTTTTGGTCCTCTTGGTAACGGTTCTCTCGTGACAAAAGGCACACTGGATGAGCACAATCGTAAATTGATTGTATTGCATTACTTGATTATTCCCTTTTCTGCGATTGGACATGACAAAAACCTAACATAAAAAATAAGTGACCCAGCTCCTTCAAGAAATGATGGCTTACCTGTGACATCCCGGGCATCCCAAGCAGGTAGGTCGGTGGGACGTTAGAAAGTAATTGTGTTGTTTTCCTCATTCAGGATCTTAACGTGAAGCTAACAACATTACAAGAACAGGCGACCACTGTAGAAAATAATGTGCAGACTTCTGAGGAGATAGCGAAGGCATATGAACAGAAAAATAAGGTGAGAATGAAGACGATTTTGTGAATATCTAATAATTTGTTGCTTTAGCCTCGTAGCCGGGTCTCTTCGGACGCAGATTGCTTCCTACTTGTGAGACTAAAGATTTGACCCGAGCGATTCCTTATTGACAACGTGACTTTACAGGCTTCGGTGAAGGGTAACCTCGTTCCCAGGGTCTTCAGTACCCTGGAAACGAGGTTGCTTTAAGTGTCTCTGATTGTAGGTTACTTTCGCGCGAAAATTCGAAACCCATTATCAACCAGTCAGAGTTTGTACCGTTACGTCATCAGTATGAATTGTTTTTTTTTTTGCGCGGAATTCGAGTGAGGGGTGAATTGAGCATGCAAGGAGAAGTGTCTGTGTGAAAAATTCTACTGTAGCGTAATTTCGCTTTTCTAATGTCTGAAGTACTGAAAGAAAAATTGTTGTTATCTGGGTTTTGTATTTAAGGATTTAACAGAAAAGCTTGCGACATCGTCAAAGGAAAAGTTGACGTTAGAAGAGAGAATGAAGGCATCGGAAGAGAAGCTGAACAAAGCTGAAGAAAATCACAAGGTGAAAATGCCATTTCATGTTATATTTTAATTGCTGTGAATGATCCCATTTATCGTTGTTCTTTTCCTTGTTAAGGATTTGAAGAGTCAATTGACAGCCTTGTCAGAGGAAAACATCTCTCTTGAAAGCCACGCTAAAAAGCTACGGACAGAGTTAGAAAGTGCCGAGGAAACTCAAGAGGTAAGGTCGAGTGTCTCATCAGGTCATGTTAGGACTTAACGAAGGTCTCCGTATTGACTAAGGGAAGTAATCGCAGTAAACATACTGGGAGCTGTATTGCATTTGGGCCACAGTCTTACCACTGTCGTATTGTAGCTGTGTTGCACCACAGCCACACCACAGCTTTTCTTGAAGTCTTTTCGTGCCACAGTCCCGCCACAGCTGTACCGTGCTTTCTTTGTGTCACAGTCATACCAATTTCGCGAGTGTGTTTTTATTGCGCCATAGTAACCATACAGTTTACATTGTTCTTTTGCACCAGAGAGTCATTCTGTATTTTTGTCGGGACACAGTTTAACCACAGTTAAACCACAGTTAAACCACAGTTAAACCACAGTTAAACCACAGTTAAACCACAGTTAAATTAACCCCTGACAATGGACAGTGAAAAATCCTTTGTCTGGAATTGAAAAATAAGTACGAGGCTAAGGATGTGTAAGTATTGTATTCAAATCTAAGCGCCATTAATGCAAAGTGTGTATTGTAGAGTTATGGTCAGTGTACTGGAACGAGATGATTTGAGCCCTGGGCGGGTGTTAGATAAATAAATAGCCTTTATTTTAAAGCGATGAGAAGTAAAGCTAAAAAGCTTATGGGGTCGTTTGTCGTTAGTGTTTGTGTTGTGTTCTTGGCTGAGACACTTGGTTCTTTCCTGCATGTGCCAAATATATATTAGGCTAACTCAACAACAAAATGGAGTAATGGGGTCGGGGGGGGGGGGGGGAGGGTGGAGGAGGAGGAAGGGGAGGAGGAGGAGGAGGAAAAAAATTAGGAGACTTCGACTGGAAACTATTATGGAACCTGGTACCCACCTCCTGTTTCTAAATCCTCCTGTCCCCCCGCCCCTTCCGTCACCCCGACGCATTTTGGAGCAGCGATTCCGAGAGTAGAATACGTCATTCCAGATTTAATAAGTTTTGAACTTAATTTTTCACCAAGATGTTGCACGTGTAAAATATCTTAGCCAAGTATATCGTATTGCTTAGTATATAAAAAGGTATGTAGTTTAGCTAACCGTTTCCTAGATTCGACTACATTGTATGGAAATATGTGCTCTCAGATTACAATTGACAATGTAAAATGTTTTGCAACAAATATCGCGTTTACAGTAAAAATGTGAGGTGTTGCTGTAGTTCACCTACATGTTTGTGACTTTGTGCGCGCGTGCACTCGCGAGGTCCACACGCAGCTAAGTTTGGCCATTGTTTAGTCTCGAAATGATCTGATGATTATCTTGTTTCTCTATACCGAATCTCTACATTGTAGTCACGAAAGTACGTTGATTAGCATACGAAACGCCAAGATCATAAAATGCACGTTTTTAAAATGTTTATCACCGCTGTTTGTGTTATATTTTTAATCAAAGTAAAAGTGATTTAGTCTTGATAGACTACCAAACTCTCGCATCTAATGTTGTAAGAAAATGTATGTTAGACAGGTACCAGCAAAACTTTTTTTTTTTCAACCTTTTTTGTTGCGGATAATAAATGTTAATCGAAACAAGAAAAGCATCGCTTTTATACCGGGCTTTTGGTTAAAGCCTTCGTTAATAACTTTAAACTGTGAAGTGTGTAGCTTTGACCATCGAGTTATGGGCTATAAATTAAACCAGAGTGAATGAATGGAGGACGACGAAGAAAAAAAAAAAAA